AAGTTTTATTTCTTTTCTTTTCTCTTCTCTCTGTTTTTGAAAACATTATTTTAAGGAAAACAGCCAATCCAGTTTGGTTGGTCCATGATGTGGGTCAAATAGTGGTGTAGTTGGATGGGGCTTGCAAAGACCTTTCCAACGATATGTTATAAGCTCAATTCCGATGAATATTGAGGAAGTTATGGCCAATTTACTAAACTGGGCCCGGTTTGAGTTTTAAGTACGGCCCAATGATCTAGGGGAGGGCCTAATATGATTTATCATTCCTAATGTAATTAGGAATGGTTTTTGTCTTCTAGAACATTCTAGAAGGTTCTTATCATTCTTAATTCAATTAGGATTCCTTAGAGTTTTAATTAGATCAAATAGCATTTTCGACTGAAATTATATTATTTTATCTTCCAGTACGGTAAAATTATCAGATTTTCGAAAACGTGTTAAAAGCCGGTTTGGCGTCCAACCCCAGGCCTTGGCGCCTGGAACCAGGATTGGCGCCAGGCGCTAGTCACTGGTCCTGGCGCCAATGAGCCAGGGCTGGCGCCAAGTTGTTTTTGCGATCTTCAGACTCTGTTTTGATAAATTATCTTTTTGGCTGATTTTCTCTATAAATATCGTATTAATAAACTCTGTTTTGGGGGACGGATCAACAATCACTTTTTCAATTACCAATGATCAATATTCATTGACCATTAATCAACTCTCTTCATTAACAAACCGTTCATCAATTCTTTTCATCATTCATTCATCAATTTTCAATAATTCTTAACATTCATTCATTCTTTCTTTAATACTTTGCTTTTTCACACAAAATTCCGCATTCACAAGATCTTGATACACCTAGCCATATTCGAAGTTGCCTTCTCCCTAGACGTGAAAGGTTTTAATTTCTGAGGGTTTGGTCCCAAATCTCTCTTTCAATTAATTGATTTAATTGTTTTGGTTATTATTTTTCTTGAAGTTACTAACGTGTGTATTTTGTAATTAGAAAGAGGTACGAGGCATCCAAGTAAGTACTTTAATTGATTAATTGATTTTATGATGTAGACATCATGTTTATATTATTATTATGATATTCCTAGTATCATGTCTAGGGTATTTTTAATATTAAGTATGATTAAGAATATGATGCTTCCTATGTTCTTTCTAACATTTATGATTATGATTGGTGATGATTATTTATTATGTTGCTTGATATATATTATATATTGTTATTGCTTGATCACCTTTTATTCCAGGTTAAAGGGAATTGGTATTTGCAATCACGCTTAATAAGATAATTAATAATCTTGTTAAGTTAATTGTGATTATAATTCAAGTGATCGCCAATAATAGTTTGTTTGTGCATTAATATTCAACCAACATAGATTAAACAGGTTTAGGGTTAATCCTATTGATTGTATGTTAGTCAGAAAGCGCACATGAATACGAGCAGAATAAAGTAGAGGCCTATTATTAGGGCAGGTTCAATCTCTTTTAGGTTGGATTTGTACCATCATCCCCGGACCCTTATTTGGTTCATGACCTTATGGAGTTGACGATCTCTTGGATCATTAAGGGGTGTAACCTTCACCTCGTGAACGGTTTACAAGTTCCTTAAAAACTTGTTGGCGACTCTTTTGCTCTATCTTCTTCCCTTTTGGACGCCACCGTACTTTAGTGTATGATCACAGTGGGGCTCAAGCTAGTGGGATTTTAAAGGCTTGAAATTATTCCCTACAGGAGGCAGAGGATGAAATGAAAAAGAAATACCCAGAGTTGTTTCAGGTATGTAGAGTTACGGGGGCGTAACTCGTTTTCTTTAAGGGGGGTAGAATGCGGTAAAATATCGCGCTTTTTCCCTATATTTCAGTTATTTTTGTGCTCTTTGCACGAATTTAAACAAGTATTTCGAATATTTATGCTCTCAAAGAGACATAAAACAGTAAAGGAGTGACAAAAAGTACAACAATACTATACATATTAAGGAAAAAGGTTTAAATTTCGTTCCCCAAGTTTCGGGACGAAACTTTTTTTAGGGGGGTAGACTGTAATACCCCGTATTTTTATACGCATTTTATTTAAAGTATGTATTTTATAAAGTATTTAAATAGTTGTAATTATTTTTATTAAAGTATTTTAATTAATATTATTATTAAAGGAAAGTTTATTTAATTATTTTATTTAAAAGTTAGGGTTTTATTTTTGGAAAGTTTAATTTTTAACAAGTTTTATTAGGGAAGGAATTAGGAAAAACCTAGAAGAGGGTTAGTAGAGAAGGGGTATAAATATCCCACTTATGAGGCAAATCAAACTTTGCCCAGTGTGGAGAAAACCAAGGTAAACTTCTCTCTCTCTCTTCCTTAATTTTTTTCCTTTTTCTTTTTCCCCCTTCCCCTTAAACTTTCGGCTGCCCCCCCTCTCAACACCGCTGCCAGCCACCGGCAGGCTGGTGGCCGCCACTGCCAGCAGGCGCAAGCCGCCGGCAGCAGGCAGCCGCCGCTGCCAGCAGCCGGTGGTGGCTGCCGCCCCTTTTTCCCCTTTTCTCTTTTTTTTCGAACCTTATATATAAAAAAAAAATTGAAGCTTTCTTGTTTTAATTGAATCTATTCTTGGATCTAAATATAAATTATGAGTTTGGGGGTTTAATTTTGATGTTTGATAATTGTAATTGTACGAATTAATTTTCAGATTTGGTTTTTAATTAAAAAGCCCCAATTTTTGAAACCCTAGGTCCTTGATTTATGAAAATTATGAAAGCATATGAGGAATTAATGTTTAGATCTTTCAATTTAAGTGTTTTAAGACTAAATTACAGCAAGTTTTAATTAGAAATAAAGTGCTGGAATTTTATGTAGAACACTTAATATTATGTTTTTGAAGGAAATTTAAATTACCCATTAATTTGGACTTAATTAGAGTGTTTTAAATATAATTTCAACTTATTAAAATTATTTTAAGAGGGGTTTTAGGATAGTATATATTGCTGGAAATTTGTTTAGAGTGGGTTTTAATGCTCTATTATAATTTTAATGTGTAGGAGACTTCGAAGTGAGCAATTTTTACTAGTCGTGACGATTTTAGGATCGTATTCAAGGTACGTTCGCGTACTTAGCATATTTTGATGATGTAGAATCATGCTAGGTTTAATTTCAATCAATTACAAGTAGTATCATGCTAAGGTTTATGTATTGAATCGTGAATATTTGGTGTTGGTGATTGAATTGTGAAGCATGAATTATTTGTGATGGTTTATGGATTGGAAAATTATATTTTGGCATGATTATATGGACTACATATTTATTTATGGCATGATAGAGAACATGTTTAATTAAACTAATTGTTTAATTATGTTTGGAATATTGAAAAGAAATTTTATTATGGTTTATAATTTTTATTGATGCTTTAAGCATGAGAAAGGAGCTATATAAGTGTCTATGTACGCAAGGAATAAATTGTATGTTGGTGCCTTTGTGCACTTAAGGTGTTTTAACACCGAGGTATAGGATGGTTGGCGCTTTATGCGTTTAAGGTGTCTTCGACACTGAGGTAGAATTAAAAAGGGTTCAACATTAAATATTATGTGGTCACTAATTATTCAAGAATTAAATTGGTATATTTTTTTGATTGAATAATTATTATTGATTGACTTATTATGCTTTGAGAGTCATCACCAAGTCTAATAACATGTAAATAATGTAAAGTGAAAGAGATTACACACCAAAACTCTTGGAACGTATATACCTTGAGTATGAACATATGGGGGGGAGTTATGTGACTTTATATTTGATCATAACTTCTAACGGAGTACAGGACGCTGTATATTCCTTTTTATTATGCGCTGGAATTCCGCCACCTATGTGAGGCACAGGTTTGTTGCTGGCACGGTTAGCTCCCGTGTCAGTTAACCCCAATTTATTGGAATAGGATTAGTTGGAAACCCGTTCGATGCGTAATCAACGCCAAATGAATTGTTTAGTGTCTAGATAAAGTGTCTTGTTGATTGTTGAGTGTGCTTGTAAACAGGTGCAATGGGGTAAGTGTGTGTGATGATAGGTGAATGCATGTTAGTGTGTTTAATTACGCTTATGTACTCAGCTTTGCTGATTGTGTGTGTGTTGTTTGTGTCTGGCCATGTCTTTATCTTGGCTCTACGATGATCCATTTTAATGGAGAGTAGTGGGGGCAAGTAGAGATACACTTTTCAGGTTATGAAGCATGTTCTTGACGGGGCATGAGTGAAGAGAGAATCATGCTAGCTTCTATTAGGATATGATATGTTTTATGCATTGAATATTTTATTATATTACCTTATGGACTAACCCAAAAGTTTGGTTGTATCTGTTTTGAATAAGGGCCTTAAATGGTTCCAAGTTGTAGTGGATTTTATTTGACTTTGGTTTTGTTGATTTTCAACTTTACTTTCATTGGTTTGGTTTTGAATTGTGTTATTTAAATAGTTTTGGTTTTCAAGTCTTCCGCTGTGTATCTTTGATAGTTTCCTTAGCCGTTTTCACAGTGGCGGTAATGTCTTGGATATTCCTAAAACGTATTTTTAAAAGAGTAAAGTGTGTATTTAAAGGAAAGGAATTTCTAGGGTTTTACATGGATACTCCACGAGAAGTATTGACAAGCGATTTCGACAATTTACCATACGAGGTATGATTCTTATTGAATTACGTATCTATGAAATACTATATGCATATGTTTTGTTTGTTTTTGGTCATTAGGGTAGCTATTAGAGCGCATATTGATCATTACTATTAGTATAAGCCATAACATTGTCAAAATTATACTGCGTATATAGTTGTTTAGGTTTTGGATGATTGTATTTTTATTGATTTTTATATGCGATTTTTGGTGGTACAGAATTATCATTTTGATAAAGAAATTGGGTCATTACAAACTAGTCGTAGATTATCTTTTGAGGAGCATGAGTAATTGAATGATAATGATGATGTGGTCAATAACTCTAAAATAACTTTGAAGATAATAAAGTTGAAGAAGATAATTTTTTTCCAAATATGAATGAAATTCACTCAAAGCTGCCCAATGAAGCCATTCCAATGATAGAGATGGAGTTTGCATCAGAGAATATAGCTTATGATTTCTACAACATATATTCTAGAGCTATTGGATTTGGAATTCGGTTAAGTAAATTTCATAGAGATGACAACACTGGTACTATTCTAGATAGGATCATTTGTTGTTCTTTTAAAGGTTCAAGGGGAAAAGATAAAAGGGCCCCTTATGTGAAGAAAAATCGAGCTTTGACACGAGTTGGATGCTCTGCAATGATAAAAGTAAGCTCCCGAATTAATGGACTATTTCGTATCATTAAATTCGAACCACAACACAATCATGTTCTGTCAACACCATCAAAGACTCATCTATTTCGTTCACATAAAAGTATCAACTCATCTCAAGCTAGTGAACTTGATACGTCATGCTCTTATGGCATTGCACCAAAAGCAAGTATGGAGTTGATGAGTAGAAGGGCTGGTGGGAGAGATAATCTTGGTTTTCTGCGTGTAGATTGTAATAATTATTTGAGGAAGAAAAGAGAGAAAGAAATGAAAGTTGGAGATACCGGTGGGGTTTTAGAGTACTTGCAACGCAAGCAAACTGATGATCCGAAGTTTTTTTATGCCATACAAGTTGATGTGGATGATCTCATCACAAATATTTTTTGGGCTGATGCAAGAATGATGTCTGATTATGACTATTTTGGTGATGTAGTATGTTTTGATATTACTTGCAAAAAACAGAAAGATGGTCGTCCATTTGCTATGTTTGTTGGAGTTAATCATCATAAACAAACCATTATTTTTGGGGTAGCTTTATTGTATGACGAGACAACAAAAACTTTCAATTGGATATTTGACACATTTGTGAAGGCAATGCATGGAAAGAAGCCTAAAACTATTCTGACCGATCAAGATCAAGCAATGGCAAATGCATTATCTACAAAATGGCCGGAAACTTATCATCGACTATGTGTCTGGCACATGTACCAGAATGCTGCAAAACATCTTCACCATGTATTTGAGAAATTTAAGGATTTTGCTAAATATTTTAGTAGTTGTGTTTATGATTATGATGATGAAGCAGATTTTATAGATGCTTGGGACAATATGTTAGTTAAATACGATCTGGTTGGCAATAGTTGGTTGGAATGGGTGTATAATTTGAGAGAGAAGTGGGCACTAGTTTATGGGAGACAGACATTCTGTGCTGACATGAGTACAACACAACGTAGCGAAAGTATGAATGCTCAATTACGGAGGTATAGTAGCAATGAAAATCACTTATGTTAGTTTTTTGAGCATTTTGAGCGTCTTCTCAGTGATAGGCGTTATGAAGAAAGTGTGGCAGATTTCAAGACTAAACATAGTTCTCCAGCTTTACCATATCCAGTTCGAATTTTAAAACATGCATCAATTATTTACACTGCCGAAGTGTTTGAGTTATTCCAATGTCAAATTTGGAAAGCATGGGATTGTATAATAGAAGAAGAGGAGGTTGTTGGCACAACTTATAGGTATAAAGTTTATCCTCCAAGGAAAAAGATTGATCATTTTGTTACATATAACCCAGAAAATGATACTATTTCATGTAGCTGTAGAAAATTTGAGTTTGTAGGGATACTTTGTTCACATGCATTGAAGGTTCTTTGTTCAAAAAATATTCACAAGATTCCAAACCAATATATTCTACAAAGATGGAAAAAGGATGCTGTTTCGGGGTTTTCTGATGTCCTGCGGGAGAGTTACAATTCCGAGACTGGAACCGGACGCCTGTACCTGCAAAATAACGGAGACTCCTGAGAGCTCCGCCTCCAACGGTCAAGTTAGTACCTGATTAAGGAGTAATCAATACAGAAATTAAAGTAATGAGATCTCTCTAGGTGAGAGTGCTTAGTGTTGGTAATCTGCGTTGTTAGCGAGATTAGCCGGTTGTTAATAACTCTGTTCTTCTCTGCTTGATCTCTTAATTATTCGATCCCCTGATTAATGAGGATTAATCGAGTATTTATAGCCTTGAGAAGCGTGCAACTCTCTAGGTTTAAGGTAAACCTAGGGCTGATCGGGCCTCTAGACTGAATTGGGCCTTGATGGCCGGTTGTCCCATTTGGCATGGGTGGACACGTGGCGTGTCTAAAGTGGTCCGTAGAGGACGTATCTGTGATTGACACGTGGCAAGCTCCTGTTGGCCTTCGTGAAGGACACGTGGCGGAACCTGGTTGGTCCACTTGTCAGACGGTGATTGGTGGATAAAAATCCCCTAATCATTTGCCCCTCACAGGTGGCACGTGACTGGTCACGGGTCGCCTGTGACAGATGTCGCACGGTGACAGGCGACGGCCTGTTACAGGTGTCACCTTGCAAACGGCCGAGAGATTTTCCCGCCCAAATTTTGAATTTGGAAGCGACCCTTCGCCTTCTCACTTTGCCTATAAAAAGAAGTGCTGACTTCGGTCATTTTCACATTTGAGAACTTTACGAGAACATTCGGACCCCTGAACTTGCTCTGACATTTTCGACTTTTTCCGCCTACCGCCTGTTCTGACAAGCCGACTGACCCGAACTTCCAGGACTTCATCAACCGTCACTCGTTCAGGTAACTCAGTTCTCTTACTCTTAATTTTCTTTTTATTTTTTGAAATGGCACCATGGAAGCACACGACACGCCCTAAGTTAGTGATCAGCCGGTCACCGGGGACGGCTGAATCTAGGACTAGGAGTGCCGCCTGCCCTTTTCTGGACCCATCTTTGCCCTTTATACAAAGTCCGACTGTATCTGTGTCTATGCAGAACGTGATGGCCAGAACAAAAAAGACTGCTATGATATCAAACTCAGACGGCTCCTCCCAAAGGGTGCTCCTTAGTGAAACATCTGACCAGGCGCCAGATGTAGAACGAGGCGACTGTCAAGCTGACAGTTCTGAGAGAGGGACCAAGGTGTTCCCTTCCCATCTTACCGTGGACATGTCTAATTTTCCTTCTGCTCCTTCTAAGGGAGAGGAGGCGGGCCCCTCTAGGAGAGGGGAGGAGTCGTCCTCTTCGGACTCGTCAGGGGACGAGTCCGAATCCAGCTCTTCTGGCCACAGTTCTTCTGGCTCAGAAGAAAAACATAGCCGCCTACAAGAGGCGAGACGTTCTCATGCAGTTGAGAAGGGGGATAATTGGGCAGAGCCGTCCGCCTCTTACAGAGAGGAAAACGCCCCCTACTACTGCAGGGTTCCCCGGGGCCGGATTGCAACCATGCGAGACAACGTGGCGAGCTTTATTGCTAACCACAAAATGGGCCCGGAATTTTTACTGTTTGTGCCGGATCCAAAAGATACTGTCGTCTGGCCGGCTGGTACCAGCTATGGTGACGGCTGCTTTGGCTGCTATGTGGCGGCCATCAAAGCTGGACTGCGCTTCCCATTACATCCGGTTGTTCAGCGGATTTTAGATGGGTATGATCTGGGGTTATGGCAGTTAGCCCCCAACTCTTGGGTAAACGTACTCGGCTATGTGGCCGGGTGCGAACTGAACGGGGTGGAGCCAAGTTTTGAGGCTTTCGCCCACATGAACTATCTCAGCCGGACCCCTAAGTCGGGAGGTACCGGCTGGTATCAATTAACAAGCCATAGGGGTTACCTCATGACGAGAGGTAAGGCAAACAAATGGAAGGATTGGCGGAACACCTTTCTTATTATCGAGAGTTCAGACACGGAGCTGAACAAACGCTTTAACAAGTGGAATAGGGATCCGCCTCTTCTCGCAGGCGGCCGCAGCATGCCGCCTGTTCCCCCAAAGGCTAAAAAAGAGATCCTAGACAAAGGACTCTTCAAAGTAGAGACTAGGGTGAACTCTACTTCAGGGATACGAGAGCAAGTACCCCTAAACTGCGTCCCGAGCTTCAAGTGGCTCTATGACGAGTACTTCTTGGCCGCCTGTGGCCTCAGCAGTCGGTGCTCTAGAGGTAGCCGGCCTGACGAATACTCTGTTTTTTCACGCCTTGTTTACTTGGGATTTTTACTAACTTTGCTGTTTATTTCTTTCAGCCGACGCCATGAGTAAAATAACAGCATCTAAGACTGCGGCGGCCATGCTGCGGGTCTCGCTAATGAAGCAGTCGTATGCCGACTCCCCCAACAAGGAGGCACCCTTGGTAAGCTTTGAAAACTCTTCTCCTTTTAGTTGTCTTATGCATATACTAACTCTTTTTGTTTTCAGTCTGGCACTCCAAGGGCTTCTTCCTCGCAACAGCCGGACCCCAAGGCCCGGAGGACGACTGTTGCAAGCTCTCCTGGGTCTTCCAGGAAAATAGTGGCGGCTGAGAAGCAGCCGGCCACTTCTTCTAAAACCCAGGCGGGGCCGCCTAGATGTATGGACACTTGCTTGTAAAAACTCACCCTTGCTTCCTTCTTGATTAGGTCTAACTTGTTTTTTCCTTTCGCTTAATGCAGCCGGCACCCAGGGACTTGACTTGGTTGAGGTAGCCAAGTCAATGGTTAAAGTAGTTCCTCCATCTGACAGGGAGGCGGTCAAGGGTGCCGGCACCCTTAACCTTGATGGAATTTCAGGGGTCCTTGCTGAGGTATACTTAGTATATTTTTGAGCTTTTTGAGTTCTAGGACGCCTGTTAACTTTTTATCTGGAAACTGACGCCTGTTTTTCTTTGTACTTAGGCCCTGCTCCGAGTCAACAGCCTACGCAAGCCGATTGATCGGAAAAACAAAGAGGTAAAGGCCGCAAAGGCTATGGCCGCCTCCAGCTGTGATAAGGCAATGTTTCAAATTGCCCAAAATGAAGTACTGACCATTGATCTTCTTTATTATCAGGCGCAGGCGACCGCCGCTGTTCGGGCTCAGCTAGAGGCGGCCCAAAAGAAGGTTGACGAGCTGGAGGGGACCGTCACCAACCTTAAAGCCGAGCTGAAACCCCTTCGCCAAAAAATGCACTCTTACGAAGCCATGGAGAAATCTTTGGCTAACGTAAAAGAACGCCTGGTGAACCAGGAGAAGAGTCTTACCCAAGAGCTCTCGGATAAGGCCGAGCAAGAGAAACAAGAGCTCGTCCGGGAGATGGTGGAAGACTCCGCTCAAATCCAACGCATGACCTGGGAACGACTGTTCCCCAGTGCCGACTTTGCCTCGTGGGAAAGAACGTACCGCCAGTGTTCGGAAATATATAATCAACAGATCCTGGCGGCTGCTGAAGAAGAGGCGTTGGACGGTGCGTTGGAGGAGGAAGAGCCGGTTGTGGCGCTTGTGCCACTTGGGGGTAAGGCATCAAAAGATGGTGCAGCTAAGGCCGAGTCAAGCAAGAAGAGTGCTGACCAGGCGGCTGCTGCTGATACTGAACTGCCCCCTTCTTAAGCTTTAAGTATTTTTTCTTTTCACGGCCTGCGTGCCGTTTGCTTTGTAATTACCCGGCCAGGGGGCCGGGGTTTTGAATATTCTGCTGGTCTTTTGTGGCCGGCTCATTTTTAATCAAATTTTTTGTTTTGGTTCAAATTTGTCTAAGTATTTGAAATTTGCTCACTAGACCGACTGTTGTGTATGGTCGAACGTTAAGACAGGTACAAATAGTAAGTATGCCGCCTATGCCCCTGGACGACTGGTTGTCTGTTTCCAGGATAGATGATCAGTCGGCCATTTAATCAATCGGTATTCGAACTCTTTATTCAATTTGACCAAGTAAATAGAATTACCTAGTAGCCAAGGAATTAAGTAGGGAGAGTTACAATTCCGAGACTGGAACCGGACGCCTGTACCTGCAAAATAACGGAGACTCCTGAGAGCTCCGCCTCCAACGGTCAAGTTAGTACCTGATTAAGGAGTAATCAATACAGAAATTAAAGTAATGAGATCTCTCTAGGTGAGAGTGCTTAGTGTTGGTAATCTGCGTTGTTAGCGAGATTAGCCGGTTGTTAATAACTCTGTTCTTCTCTGCTTGATCTCTTAATTATTCGATCCCCTGATTAATGAGGATTAATCGAGTATTTATAGCCTTGAGAAGCGTGCAACTCTCTAGGTTTAAGGTAAACCTAGGGCTGATCGGGCCTCTAGACTGAATTGGGCCTTGATGGCCGGTTGTCCCATTTGGCATGGGTGGACACGTGGCGTGTCTAAAGTGGTCCGTAGAGGACGTATCTGTGATTGACACGTGGCAAGCTCCTGTTGGCCTTCGTGAAGGACACGTGGCGGAACCTGGTTGGTCCACTTGTCAGACGGTGATTGGTGGATAAAAATCCCCTAATCAGATGCGAAAGTTGAAATTTGTCAACAGCATAAGCTGTCTACTCGACAAGTAGATGAAAAAATATGTTCGAGGATACGATTTCAAGAATTGGGTAAATTATTTACCCACTTTGCAGGAGTTGCAGCTCAAAGTGAAGATACTTACAAATGGGCTTTAGATGTACACCAAAAGTCATTAGCGGAAGTAGAAGCACGTCTAAAGAAATTGATATGTGGAGAAGAGGATGATAATGAGGAAGAGAGTTTAGATTGTGAAGAAAATGTTAATGTAGAGCTGCAATGTGATACCTTAACAGTGAAAGGAATAAAAATGAGAGGCAGTAGTCCTGGGAGTAGGGGGCGTGGAAGAGGTAATGGCTCCAATAATGGTTCTACTCGTTGCAAGAGTTCCTTAGAAAAAGGTCGTACTCGCAAAAAACATTGCACAAATGATCAGGTATTTGGATTATACATATAGTCTTACAATTACTACCTGCAATATTTTTTCTTATTGATAATTACTAATATTCAAGCTAAAGTATATATAACAGGTCAGCAAAACAACTTTTTCAGAAATGAATTATACTCCTACTTCTGAGAGGCAAATGGATTATACCATCCCATTGTCAAATAATTACCCTATAGCACATTTCAGTTATACTACTCCTTTCTTCTACGAAGATGTTGATACTGTTGACCTTGGCTCAGGAAGTTTAACTCAACTCCTAAATGTAAGTTTACATATCCTTGTAGTAGTACTATATCTGTTGTGGACTTAATAGAAGAACTCATACAAGCATTTCTTAATAGGCACAAATGTCAACAATTGGAGCCCCACAAACATATAATGATCAAGAAGACCGACACCTTTTTTAGAGGTATATGACATACTTTTTTTTTGAACCAAAGTATATGACATACTTGTAAAATTTGATAATACTTTTAATAAATTTTTATATTTTAATAGTTGGTTGGCTTGATACTTTGTAACTTTGATCTCTTGTTGGCATGTTGCAGGATGATGAATCACACGTTCCATGACTAGAGGGATAGATCTTATGGAAATTATGGCCTAGTTTATTCTTCTGTGCTCACATCTTTTCAACAACTAAGCTAATCTAGTTCTCAGTTTTATTTTTGTGTGTATGTTTTCTGCATTTTCAATTTCTTAAAGGTTTAGAATTTACAATGAAGTTGTATCTTTACTCAATTATGAATATTTATAATAATGATTGATATGCTCGGATTGTTTTATCATGTCTATCAAAGATTCTTCTAGAGTTATAGAGGTAGTATACAGGAAAAAAATGATGCGATTGAATTAAACGTAATTGTGTAAAGGAGAAACAAAAAAAAAAGATAAGGACTAAAATATAAATTATGTAAAATTTATTTAATTTAATTTGCTATTAAATTTTTTTAATATTAATATTGATATTTAAAGTGACGTGGACCAATCAAAACGAATGGGACATGGAATGAGACATATGAGTGGGACAGAGGATTCGGACCCAACATAATGTGTGTTGCAAGTACTAAAAAATGGAGGAATTGAAGTATGTACTCCCTCTGTTTTTAAATACATGCTTCACTTTCCTTTTTCAGCTGTTTTTGAATACTTGTTCCATCTCCTTATTTAGAAATCTTTTACAATGTTTAATTTATTTCTCTTACCTAGTGCACCCAACATAAATCATATTGTATTAATTTCATATTATCTTTTCTCCAATTCTCTCAACTATTCTTGTTTTTTCATAATTTTTTATTCTTCCCCTACCCCACTACTTCCATATATATATATATTAATCCAATTTCTCATAAAACTCCACGATTGAAGAAATGGAGCAAGTATTTAAAAACGGAGGGAATAATTTTTATAGTATACTTTTTGTATTACGTATCTTTAACTAGATGATTTAATTACAGGATGTAGACGGCTAACCCGGCTCAGATTGACGTATATATAAAAAGGTTCCGAAGCAATATAGCAGCTCTTTATACCTATGAAAAGATGTTCTATACAAATTTATAACAACGAAATTAAATGAGGGTATTAACTCATTACTGTAATTTTTTTTCACCAACCCACTATTGAATAACATCATTTTAACCTGACCCATTTTGATCTGCCATTTGATACCCCTTTAAGAATCGATTGGATAATAAATTAAATTTGCATTAACCGGAGTAAAACTCATTCACAACCCGATCTGTTTCAAATAACACAAAAACGATCCAAAATGTTATTGAACAAAACTAATTGTTACGGATTACGATCCGGCCTGATTTGAAACCATGCTAATATAAATTGTAACTTAAACAACTTGATAGTAATCAGATTCGAATCAACCTGGCTTGCTAATCAAATAAAACAATTTCAAGCCGACCCACTTCATCCCGAAGTAAAATTCGAACCATCAACCTGTTAGGAATATTATTAGGAAATATTATCATATTTTGTGATTATTATCTTATATTTAGTTTTTTAGTTTATAGGCTTGATATAATTTGTTAGGCTTTAGGAAACTATGTACTCTATATATTTGAGGATCAATCAATGAATGGGGTAAACTTCAAGCCCTAATTAATCTGACATGGTATCAGTCGCCAAGGGTGATTAACGAAAAAAGAAAAAAAAAACCATAACCTATGGCCGGAGATGATACTCCACCACCGCGAATCGACATTACATCAACCGTTTTACCTAGGTCCTCATGACAGACCTGGGGATTTTATTACTCCAACCCATCTTCGTGGCGAAAATTATGATGAATGGGCTGGTGATGTTCAAACCGCGTTGGAGGCTCGTCGCAAATTTGTGTTTCTTGATGGCACCATCACCACTCCTTCCTCTCCGTGTACCCAAACGGATTGGAACACAATCCATGCCATGTTAATTTCATGGCTGATGAATACTATTGATCCCGAAGTGAAGGGTACTTTATCGAAGTACAAGGATGCCAAACGCTTATGGGATACCCTTAAGATGCGATTTGCCATCGTTAATGGACCACGGATACAACAGTTGAAGTATTCGATTGCACGATGTGAGCAGCCCAAGTCTATGTCCGTGGCTTCCTATTTCGGCAAACTTACTGCCTTGTGGGAAGAATTGAACAACAATGAGCCAATTATTGCTTGTTCTTGCTGTGAGAAGTGCACCGCAGGCTTGGAACATGAAAAGCGCAGGGATAATTCTCGTCTCCACGAATTTTTAATGGGGCTGTGTACTAATTATTACGCTCAGACTCGCACCAACATTCTCTCTCAAGACCCGTTGCCTAATCTTGAACGAGCTTATCAATTGGTAGTGCAAGATGAACGTGTTCGCCTTTCAAAGAAAATTCCGGATGAGCAGCCACCTGATGTTGTTGGTTTTGCCCTTCATACCAACAACACAGCAAGCTCCGGGAAGGTGAAGCAAGCTAGCCACGATGACAAGTATGAGAAGTCAAATTTGCACTGTTCTCATTGTAAGAAAACAGGACACTTAGTCTCTAGATGCTTCGAATTACATGGGTTTCCAGATTGGTGGCCAAATCCTTCTAAGCGTGGCAAAGTAGGGGCTAAAGGGCGTGGCTCGGCTTGAGCTAATGCGACCAATGTAGGGGTTGCTTCTAGTACCAGCAATGTGGAGGCTACAGGCAGTGCTTCTTCAACTTTTACGGCAGACCAAAGGACAGCCATTGCCAGATTTATTGGTAATACAAAGGTTCCCGATGACCGCTTGAATGGTGAGTTTGATAATGGATTGTGGACACAGGTGCTTCTAGCACTAGTAGAATAAACGTAATGACAAGCGGTACAAACCCCCTAATGGCAAGCGGTTTTGAACCGCATGGGCTTAGGGGGCTTGCCATTAGCCATTTAAATGGAAAGCGGTTCAGAACCACTTGCCATTACTAGAGAAAGGGTAGCGGTTTTGGCGCCAAACCACTGCCCATTAGGGGTATAAAAAATAAAAATAATTTTTTTTTTGGGTTTTTTCCACATAAATTGATATATAAACCAAACATATGTAAAAACATTAATATTTTTATTAATTATTTGTTGTAATATTACATTTACATTATAAAAAAAAAATTAATTCAACTAATAAAATTAATGCAAATAATATTCCTCAAAAAAAAATTAATACAAATAATAAAAATAAAAAAAAAATTAGGGGCTCATGTTCCAGGACTTCCAGTCACGACCACCAACACCACCGTCCAGCACCACCACCCACCACGACCCCCACGAGCAGCCACCACCATCAGAACCCCCAACTGACCCCCACCCACCAAACCCTCACCGAAACCCACAACTCCACCATGACCCCCCACCACCCCTCACCCACCAGAACCACCAACTAACCCCCACCCACCAAAACCCTCACTGAAACCCACCAAAACCCTAACCCAAACCCCAACCCCCACCCACACAACTAGACCCCCAACCAAACCACGACCAGACCCCACCCAAACCACGACCCCCACCCACCACGACGTACCCCCCCCCCAAAATAAATCTGAAATCGAAATTAAAAAAAAAAAAAAATTCGACCCACCTTCAAAAAAACCCCATCTAGCCCACCACGACCTCCACCCAAACTAGATCCCCGCCATGAAAATGCCAATTTGGGCTTGAAATTATGGTTTTAAAGGTCAAATTCGACCATAAAAACTCTAGATCTAGAGTTTTCATGGTCGAATTTGACCTAAAAAACTTGAACACCCACACACATGCACAAATTTGCTCGAAATTGTTCAAAATTTGCTCAAAATTTAACTTGGGTTTTGTTCGATTTTGCTCGAAATTACCCGATTTTGGTTCGAATTTAAGGAGACGAGAAAGAACAAAGAAAAAGAGAAAGTGAAAGAGAAGAAAGGGGCGAATTAGGGAAGAGAAGAGGAGAGAGAGAGGGAAGGAAGCAGTAAGAATGAAAGAGGAGAGAGGGAAAACGGCGTTCATGAAGAGGAGAGAGAAAGAGCTGAGTAAAGAAAGAGGAGAAAGAGAAATAAAAGAAGGGGGTAGGGCGCGCGGATTTAGGGTTTTTTTTAATGGCAAGCGGTTTGAGGTTGAACCGCTTGCCAATATGTCTAATGGCAAGCGGTTCAACCCCAAACCGCTTGTCATTATATATACTGGCAAGCGGTTCGCGCCAAAACCGCTTGCCATTTAAAATTACAGGATTTTTTTTTTTAAAAAAGTAGGTAAATGGCAAGCGGATTTTTAAAACCACTTGCCATTTGGGGCATCCCATCACTTATTTTCTACTAGTGTAGACATGTTACTTGTTGTGACAAGTGGCTATTTGATACTCAACTCATCTCAAATTGTCCGGTCGGTCTTCCGAATGGTAAAACAGTATATGCCACAAAGGAAGGATCGGTTCGATTATCTTCAAAAATTGTCCTTACTCATGTGTTATTTGTTCCTAATTTACGTTGCAATTTAATTTCGGTATCACAATTAATTGATGACACAAATTACAATGTCCAATTTAACTCTAATATGTGTGCTATACAGGACCAGTCGAGGGAGCTGATTGGAACGAGTGTTAGACGAGATGGACTATTCTACTTCAAAGGAAGAGCATCGGTACAACATGTGGCTACATCTGAGTCATCTGGATTTGTTAGAATTGTGGCACAAGCGTATGGGTCATCCTTCGGAAAAAGTTGTTAAGCTTCTCTCTCCCGCTCGTAATTGTAAGGGTAATTTAAATAAAGCATGTGAAGTGTGTTTTCGTGCTAAACACCCTAGAGATAGTTTTTCATTAAGTGAAAATAAAACTAGTAGAATTTTTGAAAAGATACACTGTGACTTATGGGGTCCTTATCGACATGCATCGTCTTGTGGTGCTCGTTATTTTTTAACATAAACATAAATAATTTTTTGCCTCTCGTGCGGTTTGGATATATTTGCTTATTGATAAAACTGAGGTGTTTCGTATGTTTATGTCGTTAGTAGAAATGGTTGATAGGCAATTCTCTCAAACAATTAAAATTGTTCAAAGTGACAATGACACTGAATTTAATTGTTTGCGTGATTTTTCT